CAAGTGTCAGCTTAAAGGAAGAGAGACAAGCTAATGAGATACGCATAGAAATCTCGTCTCCAAAAACTTCACCAGCAGTGATGCACCTTCCCAGGTACATTAAGCTCTCTATAACCTCCAGTGTCTCACCACCATAGTGAGTGCAAGTACAGGCATCTGAAAGTCTTGAAAAAGAGCTTTGCACTTGGATGGGAAAAAGCCGTCCCAGACTTCGACGCTTCAATTGCCAAGTAGTTAAATGCAAGTTGGACGGTCTGTGGAACATCACCCAGAAAGACGATATTATCAGCGTAATCCAAGTCAACAACTCGGCTACCTGGGAGGTGCTCAACGCCAGCGCTCAACGAACCTTCCAGAACACTTTTGAGGACATCCTCAATGGCAAAATTGAAAAGGAATAGGAAAATAGGGCATCGTTGTCGAACTCCACGGTGACAGCTAAGGAAGGTGAAAGCCCGTCATAAGCCCTAATTCTACCCTAAGTCAGACTGTACATTGCACGTAATATGGAAACCATCTTCCCGGGGACACCATTAGTCAACAGACAGTATCACAATACATTCCAGTCGACAGAATCAAATCAATAAGCAACAACAGCAGTACATCAGCCATTTGAACTGATTCTCCGCTTCCATACAACCATGATGACCCAAGGAATAAAGAATAATAAGAGGGAGAGAAGGGGAACTTACCTAAAAGCCTAAATGCCCTAAGCAAAGATCCAGGGTCAAGGCACCTGCACCTTGTGTTAAGAACATACCGTCGCAAACAGATGGCTACCGTGCAAAGATAAGGCGGCATCGGCGAAACAGCTTAGTTGGGGTTTTCACTGCCCCGCGTCATAATCAGCTATTACCCAGCAGATAACTCAGCACCAAACACACTTTAAACAAGCAATCCGACTAGGTTACAGCAGCAGACGCGCCACTGATGTCGGTTGCGAGCCATGTCCTGTAAAATCTCAAGCCAAGCACACGGCGAGTCACGTGGACTCCAGCTCGGGAGGCGAGACGGAACAACGGCAACAAGTTTGATCGTCCGAGACTTCATTTTAGACAGCCAAGTCAAGTTCTAACCACCTCGAGCCTTGCGTCACCCTACACCTGGCAGAATAACCAAGGCACTCCTAGGTAAGCGGTAACCGGGCATACGTAGCAAACGCCCAAGCCAACGCAAGTTAATCAGTGTTAGCTGTTGTTCTAAGGAGCTAACATGATTATCACTACCTAGTACTCGCCTACGGACATCATCGTTGCGGACAGGCTGGTGCCATCCGACACCAGCAATGCTTTGCAGACAACGATTATCAAAGACTTGAAGGCGCCTCAGATCTCCAAACCGAAGGGGCCAGGTCCCACTCACATAGAGCAGAACGGCCCACTGCTGCCCTGTATATACGGACTTTCAGACGGAGGGAAACTCCCCTCTGTCGCCAAAGATGTTGCAGGTTCAAGAAGACAGCTCTGGCCTTTGGAATGCGTGGATTGACTTCAGTTTCTATGCGCTCATCGTTGCTGTTGTCGCTGCCAAGGTAAGTGAATCGATCGACCAGCTCGAGTTCTTCGTTATCAAGGGTCAAGGGGTCATCAAGCAGCTGGTGATCCTGCAGCAACACTTTGCACTTTGAAGGTGCAAACATGGCCCACTCATGCGTTTGAATCACCTTGAAAAACGACAATATCAAATTTTTAGCGGAACGCAGATCATGTAGCTGATGGTAAAAGTAATCTTTGACTGCATCCGGGCTACCGCTTGTAGGAGGGTAGGCGGGATGAGAAATAAAGCGCATGTAACAACACGACAATTACCTAATTTACATGAACATCGTAATCTGGTACCAAATGAATCCGCGTAGGTGCGGGTGACCTGGCCGTATACTTGGCCCTCACACGACATGGTGGTCGATTGGCAATGAAGTGTCGGCATAATGCTGATGCTTTTTGCCTAATGAATAGTTATCACCTAGAGACTTATGCTACCAGTTAGACATTATTCAGAACAGCAAATATGCACAACGCGTACCCAAACCTACACAGTTCACTCAGTCTTATATGGTGATATAAAAAGCTAATTTGACCATCGATATTCAGTGCACGACAGTTCACATATTAGCGAATACACGAGCGCTACCTGGCACGAGCAATGTTGCGGGTGCCGGCAATGGTCACAGATCTGAGAGCACCAGGACACCATAAGCTAATTATATCTACCAATTTCAAACAAATCAGCGGCGTCAAAAATGAGACAAGGCGGTGGAAAGCTGATAACGTTCATAAAATGAACTTTTTTTAGTTAAATTTATCGTCGTCATCAACGACGGCAGTACATTGGCTCCTTGAACTGAAGCTTCGCTGCGGTACAACTACGGTGACCTAGGGAACGAAGAATAAAGGGGAGAGAAGAGGAACTAGTGCAAAACCTTATTAATCTAAGCGAACGTTTAGTGTCAAGGTGCCTACTACTTGTCAAGAACATGTCGTCACAAACAGCTGTCCATCGTGCAAAGATAAGACGGCATGACGAGACAGATTCCTTGTAGCTTGCATTGCCCCAGGGCACAATCAGCCATTAAAGCACAAATAGCGCAGCACCAAAGGTAATTAAAACAGGCAGTTCGACCACGATAGGATAGCAGACGCGCCACTGGTGCCGAGTGCGAGTACTGTTCAGTAATGTCTCGAGCCAAACACAAGGTAGGTCACGTGAACTATGACCTGGAAGGCGAAACGGACAGCACCCAGTTTTGCAGTCAGTGTCTTTATTTCCGCTGCCAAGTTAACTTTTGTCAACATCGGGCTTTGCGCTAACCTACATTTTGCAAACAAGGCTCTCCTCGATAAGCGGTGACCGAGCATACATAGTACGTGCCTAAGTCAACGCAACTTATTTGGCGTCATATGTTGTTCTATGGAACCAGCATGAATGTCATTGCCTAGCACTCATCTACGCACAGCATCGTTGCGGACATGCTGGTGCCATCCAAAACCAGCAATTCTTCGCATACAGCGGTGATCAAAGACTTGAAGGTGCTTCAGATTTTTAAATCGAAGGAGCAAAGTCTCACTACCACGGCCCGAACTGTGGCTTTGTATACACTGTCTCTCAGACCAGGGAACCTCTTTCTGACGCTACAGATCCAAGAAAATTCTAGTTCTTGCAGTGCGTGGACTGACTTTAGTCATCGTTTTTGCTGATGGGACAGCCAAAGTGAATTGATCAAATACGTCAAGTTCCTTGTCAGCAACGGTAAATGTGTCATCAAGTGGCTGGTAGCCAGCGGTGTGGAGCACGTAAAAGGTCACACATTCCATGGGAACATCTTTCTGTGTAAGTATTTCCAACAGAACGGATCGATAGACTGAGTCGGTAGTGAAAATATGGTTTATACAGTCCAGTCCTGGACGGAAATCCGCTTGTTCCTCCCTAATGCGAGATTTCCGTTTCGCAAAAGGCGACGAACGAGAGCTAACACTAGTAATTTTGTCACCACGGGCGACATGCTAATAAACCTGTGATTATTGCGGTCGGTGCGACTGCTCTTCCATATTACCACTATAATCGATTCTCACTGGTTACGTGGGATGGCCTCTTCCTTCCAGACATGTTCGAACAGGGAGGTCAATGGTTTGTAGCGTCTTATCCCTATCCTTAGATAATGAGAGTTCAACAAGATCCGGATCAGCGGCTCAAAAATAATCAAGGGCTTTAATCGTGTTTAGTATTTCAGCCGTTGATGGAACTTCCAAACTAGCCGGTCATGGATCAGCCTAGCCTACCTGTGTAGGAAGGGGTCCAAAAGCAAGAAACCAACCGAACGGCCCTCAAGTACTCCACCAAGAGTCATAGTGCCCTCCTTATTACGAATCAGAGCATCCTAATGATGTCTGATTTATTAGGTCCAGTGAGGTAGATCGGTTGGAACAAATTGTGATGATTGCCTACTGCTCCAGCCTCCTCCATTTTTTGAGCTTTAACTGGTTCACCAGACTTCCGTTAGCGTGCAGGCTCCGCCTCAGTTCGCGCCTAATAGTTCGTCTAGGTGCATTGCGCCAAGAGCCAGTCGGGAGTTTTATTCTGGATTCCAGCAGGTTCACCGAGCTCTCGGATGTCCAATGATTAATGTGGTGACGACAGGCTTCAGCATCGTGCATGGCGGCCTAGATCCTACTTCACTGAGGCTGTCATTAAGGCGAGAGGGTAAGTTCCGTAAGCAAGACCTCCTAGTACGCTTGCCTGACCCAGGACGGAGATAAATTCACAGTAAGCGATGAATGGAGGCGCTTGGTATGTCTCGTTAAAATTCACAGAAAAATGACAGCGCATCAAGGTATGGTCAGAGCTGAGGAAGGTATTCCAGAAATAGCCATGGTTGTATATAGGTTGATAGTACCATGGTATTCAAAACTTGAGAGAACCATTAGGGTCCGTAACCAAAGCCTTTGATAAAAAAGTAAGCGGGGAGGTAAAAGGATTTGGTTTTCCATAGATGGACACTATCCTATTTCCAACCCCCACCCTGGAAAACCAGGGGACCGAGTTTGTCTAACCACTAATGATTGATCAAGCTGGTAGAAGTAGCTCACAAAGAGATCGAAGGAAACCATCCAGTAGAGCTCCGTGAGTCGAAGAGGGAAAACGTAAGACTGTAGCACAACTTTAGGGACCAGTCACAATACGGTTACTATAATACAAAAAATATACAGCCAGAAAAATGACCTGCTCAGACATGCGATCATGCAGCAATATGACTGGATCCCCTCTATAAGAGCTATCCGGTACAGTGAAATGTTGGGTGATCATGATCACTTACTGCAGCGAAGTGCAGGATTGCACAAAGTTCAACTCAAAGGTGAAAAAACTGGCGATATTAAAACGGAAATATACCGCTTTAGCAATTAACCGGGTATTATAAAGTATGCGATGGTGCTCATGAAGTGTATACGAGCACGGAATTAGAAGTGAACAAAAAAGCGTGTATGTGCCATCGGCAAAAAACTTACCTCTGCAGGAGGGGATACAGGTGGCTCAAGTATAGCCTTCGCATAGCACCATAGAAATATGGCAATAATAATATGATAGAACACCAGGAAAACAACTAAAAGTGATAGCTGATAGAAATACACGTACTCCGTAAAGCCAGCGACGTGACCAAAACTGAAAAGAGAATCAAAGATGGAAGTGATCTCACCTAAGCATAATGAATATAGGTAAGAGTAATATGACCAAGCAATGACTAGCCCGAGAAACAAAACAGGAAGCCACTGAACAAAGCTAGTGCAGCAGCGAGTGCACGACCCCTCCGAGGAAGCTGGCATTCGAACATCGACCTTGAGAATTTGAGGTCAAGCTTTCGTTCAAGGACGACTCTTAACCTTGAAAGCCAATGATTCATGAGTTCATTGTTGTACAGAGAAGTACGGAACACCCTCATTAGCCACATCGATTATGTAGCATACTGGGTCTCGTGCGTGACTTTGCTTTACGACGTTCCGTGAAGGTTCGTCGCAATTGCAGTGACAGCCGCAAGCACCCTGTATTCTCAGCGAATATTTGTCTAGCAGCCAACTGTAACTTCCTCGAATAGTGCGCCCGCAATTTCTTCCGGTAGGCCATTCTAATCATATAGCGCTCTAGTGTATAGAGCGACATCTATGCGAATTCTGTTTCCTTTGCTTAAACAGATTCCATGGGTGCCATCGTGTGAAGTGTGTTGGGCTAGAAGAATTGTTATAACTTACTTCCAACTTCCCCTCTGACGATACCATGTGTGTAGAAAAGGTCGACCCGTCGACTGCGGAACACCAAGGACCACAGATTTAGTTTCTGGAGTCGAAGGGATTCTGCAGATTGTGACCTAGTTAAATAGAACCACAGGAAGACAAAGCATCATGTGTTTATTTATTAAAATACTGGTACTTATTCAACTTCTGCTTGCATTATTTCTCTATCAAACATTGTGCGAGGAGTTCATGCATTTAGAATGGAAACTGGTTGCTGATGACATGGGATAGCAGGGAATTCGTCCTTCCCGCGAACTTTGTAGCGCCCAGAAAGATAACTCTTATCTTTCGTGTACAATTTACTTGTTGACCGATTGTACATTACTCCTTCTTGTTTTAATCTTACAACCGGCTCGACACACAACTGTCTTGTAAGTCCCCGCGCTCACGTGTTCGCTCTTGCCTCGCTTCATCCGTCCGCTTCTCGTTGTAGCCCATCGAATACAGTCCGCTGTGTCCGACTCCAATTGCCTTCTGATATCCGCGTTTAATTCCGCGCATCGTCTCGGACTAGTATTAACTAGTCCTATAAATTGGTGACCCTGATTCGCACGCGCGAATTCAACATTTTTTCTCGTTTGTATTTTTTGGTGAGTTCGTTCCTTTTTCTCGATTATATACCTATATTCATTTGTTTCTTGCGTAATGTTAGTACTTTTATCGTATTTTGTTCGTTCTTTATCTTTCGACTCACACTTCGAGAGTTGCACCTGAGTCGTTTCTCAGCGTGACGATGCTTAATTTGGCTGTTCCAAGTTTCATGGAACACGGTCCAGAACTTTGGTTTAAGATATTCGAGATCGAACTAGAAAATAAGGGCATAACGGCGGACCGTCCAAGGTACAATCAGCTTGTCCCACGCCTTCCTCCGTCGGTAGTGCCGCTGATTGAGGACATTCTACTCTGCCCATCGAATGAGGCAAAGTATGAAACGATGAAGCAAGCGATTTTGAAAGAGTTACGACCCAGCGCACGAACACGATTTGAGCAGCTCAATGGTCTCAAGCTTGGCGATCGCAAGCCGTCGGCATTGCTCCGCGAACTTCAGCGCATCGCTGGTCCCTTATTCTTGAGCGAAGAAGGGATAAAGGATCTGTGGTTTGCACGTCTCCCAGAGCCATTGCCGGTAATGCTGTCCATGTTTATAGATGCACCCTTGAAAGATTTAGCTACCAAGGCAGACGCTGCGTTCGAACGTTTTCCGCAGCAGACGACCAGTAACTCCGGTGACGTATTCTCACCGATGAAAGCCGAATCCCATGTTTGTTCCCAGTCGCTAGACCGATCTGACTCTAAAGACAAGGAAATTGCGCTACTTCATAGCAGGATAGCAGCAATGAAGGCTTCAAAGCAGCATGTGCCACGGTCAAATGCTGACCACGTTTTGGCTACCGTTCATTGCGGCTCGTCTGTGCCTGCACCGAGTACGTCACGTTCGGCACGAAAGCGCCACATTTTCCTTACAAGTTCTCAGTCAGATAATGTCAAGCCCGTCGAAGAAGTATGTTGGTATCACCGCCAATACGGTGGAAGGGCTAGACGTTGTCGGGCTCCCTGCATTAGGCACGACCCAGGGAAAACGAATAGCCCGCATACTAGCACTACAAACGTATCATTCAATAGCCAAGCAAACCGACTGTTTTACGTTAAGGATCGACGTTCTTCCATCACCTTCCTCATCGACACGGGAGCGGAAGTCAGCGTCATCCCAGCGACCGCTAGCGACAAGCACTCGAAGCCTACGTACAATTTGCGTGCGGCCAACGGTTCTCCGATAGCTTCATTCGGTGAGCGCATGATGAACCTAGACCTCAATCTTCGCCGAGATTTTCAGTGGGTCTTCATGGTTGCGTCTGTACCCTTCGCAATTATCGGTATCGACTTCCTTCGACATTTTGGGTTGCTTGTTGATGCTGGTCGCCACAGACTGTTAGACGACCGTACGAACCTAATTGTTGATGGTGTCCTTTCAGATACCCCGGTAATCAGCCCTGTATTTCGGATCGCAAACGCACCGTCCGATTACTTGAGCCTCCTCTCCGAATACCCGCGACTGGTTCGACCGGCTGCAGAGCTTCCACCAGTCACAACAGAGGTTGCTCCCCACATAGTTACGCGCGGTCAACCAGTTAACGCACGACCAAGACGGCTTGCTCCAGACAAACTACGGGCAGCACGAGCCGAATTTGACCACATGCTTCAACTTGGTATCGTCAGACCGTCCAACAGCCCATGGGCGTCGCCTCTGCACATGGTCCCGAAGAAGGTCATGTGGGACTGGCGTCCTTGCGGCGACTATCGACCCTTGAATACGGTGACCACGCCCGATCGCTATCCGATACCACACATAGTGGATCTCACCGCCAGTCTGGCGGGTAAAGGTATCTTCAGCAAAATCGACTTGGCACGCGCATACAACCAAATTCCGGTAGCCGAGGCGGACATCGCTAAAACTGCCGTGACGACTCCATTTGGTTTGTTCGAGTTTCTGCGTATGCCATTTGGCCTAAAGAACGCCGCGCAAACTTTTCAGCGTTTCATCGACCAAGTTTGTCGCGGCTTAGACTTCGCTTACACGTATCTTGACGACATTTTAATCGCAAGCTCTTCACGAGAAGAGCAAATACGCCACGTACGAACGCTTTATGATCGTTTATCTCAACACGGGGTGACGATCAACGCAGAAAAGTGTTCGTTTGGTGTCGATTCAGTTAATTTCTTGGGCCATCGTATCTCTTCCGCAGGCGTCGTGCTACTGCAGGATAAAATTCAAGCCATCATCGACTACCCCGAGCCTCATTCTTTCAAACAGCTCAGGCGTTTTGATGGCCGGGTCAACTTTTACCGTCGATTTATACCCAACTGCGCCTCGCTGATGCAACCCCTCACGGACCTTCTCCGAGGGAAACTAAAGACGTTCGAATTTCCTACCGCAGCACGCGCTGCTTTTAAGTCGCTGAAAGAGGCTATCGCCAACATAGCTTCCATAGCGCATCACGATCCGACCGCCCTACTGTCCCTTAGTACTGACGCCTCGGACGTCGCGGTCGGCGCTGTTTTGCAGCAACGCGTAGCCGACACGTGGCAGCCCTTAGCGTTTTTCTCCAAACGCCTACAACCTACCGAATCTCGCTACAGCACGTTCGGTAGAGAACTACTAGCCGTATATCTAGCGATACGTCACTTTCGACACGTCCTAGAAGGCCGCTCCTTTGCCGTCTTCACCGACCACAAACCCCTAACTTACGTGCTCGGCTCGACTACCGACCGATACTCTCCTAGATAGTCGCGCCACCTTGACTATATCGCTCAGTTTACGACCGATATACGGCATGTCTCAGGTGTGCACAACGCCGTCGCCGATGCACTTTCCCGCATTCAAGCTATTTCCGCTGACGCCGGCACTGCTATCGACTTGGCAGCCATGGCCACAGCACAACTCAACGATCCTGAGGTTGAACTACTACGCAGGTCTCCCTCATTGGATATACGACCTGTTCCGCTGACATCAGACGGAATGATACTCTGCGATTTATCTCTGGGCACGCCGCGCCCAGTCGTACCACGTGAGTTTCGGCAGACCGTGTTCGACGCGTTGCACGGCTTGTCTCATCCAGGCGTTCGTGCATCGGTTAAACTCGTAACCGCACGATTCGTTTGGCGCAATGTTAATCGGGACGTCCGTACTTGGGCAGCTGCTTGCCTTCCGTGTCAACGCGCGAAGGTACACAAGCACACGAGAAGCCCATTAGGCACGTTTCCGACGCCAGACGCACGTTTTCATCACGTGCACGTCGACCTCGTAGGTCCTCTGCCGCCTTCCAATGGCTCTGTATATCTACTGACCTGCATCGATCGATTTACTAGATGGCCTGAGGCCGTCCCTATCCCAAATTGCTCCTCGGAAACCGTAGCGAAAGCTTTTATGGAGCGCTGGGTAGCACAATACGGCTGTCCCGTCATCGTGACCACCGATCGAGGGTCACATTTCTCGTCGACCTTTGCCACGTTGCTTAAGGATTTAGGCTGTCGCCACGTCCAGACGACGGCGTATCATCCGGCCGCTAACGGCATGGTGGAGCGTTTTCACCGCCAGTTGAAGGCAGCGCTACGTGCGCACGCAGATCCTTCATGGTCTGAAACGCTTCCCCTCGTTCTCCTAGGCTTAAGAAACACGGTTAAAACCGATTTCGACGCAACACCAGCGCAGCTGGTCTACGGTTGCACGCTGCGGTTGCCCGGACAGCTGGTAGCACCAGCCCCATGTACTTCCACTTTTGACTACGGAAGTTACACTGACCGATTGGCTCACCAGATGCGTGAGCTACGTCCACCCGCTCCTCGATCGCAGAAGACACCAGTGTACGTGCCCGAGAAGCTGTCTACGTGTTCACACGTCCTTCTTCGCGCAGACGGTGTTCGACAGCCTCTTCAGTCGCCGTACATAGGACCCTTCAAGGTGCTGCATCGTGCGAGTAAGGCGTACACTATTGACCGCGGTGGTCGACACGAAGTCGTCACCATCGACCGTCTGAAACCCGCCTTTATGGAAGAAACTACCTCGCCTGCTTCGTCTAGTAGTGCCTCGTGCGACGTCAC